AAACAGATGATGGTTGATATATAACATGAATTGTTTTCTCTCAGGACCTCTGTTGCCTGAAGCTCTTGATGTGCTAAATATTCCTTTTCGCCAAAGGCAGGAGCTCACAATTAACTTGAGTGGTAAGGAATAATCTGTAGACTTGAAGCAATCGAGGTTTAGAGTGGAGCACAGCGCGACCTAAACAACTCCAACTCCAGTTGCGAACTTCAAAAAAAATATTGGTCGATCCGAAAGCGCCCGCTTACTTTTGCAAATAGGAGAATAATTCACACGCTAATGAACCACATGAAAACCAGCTTATAGCACTGTCCGATAACAAATTGTCCAATAACAAACTATCCGATAACAACTTGGCAAGTGAATTAGTGGAAAATAAGGAGGAAGGATTGATAAATGTCACGGCCATTTTGTGTTTACAACAGGTGTTTTAGTTCCCAATCTTTCCGTGGGTATTAAGGGACTCAATAACGTCATACTCACGGGAAGATTGGGAACTAAAACACCTGTTGTAAACACAAAATGGCAGTGGCATTTATCAAATGAATCCTTCCTTGGATCCCCGGATCACCGTTTACTGCTCATACATGTATGTGTGGCGAGAGTTGTCCAAAAGAGTGCTTTTACAAACCTTTCAAGAGGACTGTACATGATTAAACCGACTTTGAGGAAAACAATGGTCAGTAATACAAACAAAATTGAAATATGTGACCGTACGCGTCACGCTCGACACAGATGAGGAACATATAAATGTACCTTGTTTACAAACCTACCGCTGAAAGGAAAAGCTGGCAGTTTTAATGCTACCTAGGTTTCAAGGATTGCTACAAAGGACCAAACTTTAATCTTGAAGCCAGGTAAGAGATTTATGTGAATGTATCGGAACACCTTACGAAGGCGAGTATGTTAGTTACTCCATGGAATATTTTCAAAATTTCCTGAACTTAAAGCGGTCGTTAGTTTTGAAAACGTAGCGGGTAGACAAATTTTATTATTGTTTTAAACTAAGGGCCACTTATACTTTCTATTCATGTATTTCAGCAGTTTCAAACAGGTGCACATTTTTAAAATGTGCCTTCAAAGTAGAGCTATTTTCTGTTTTGTTCAAAACTCGATTTAACGGGTAGAAAATCTTCTTTTAACCTTTGAAGGAACAACATTGAATTCTAATTGCAACTTGGCTAAACAAACTGCTATGATATAGCTATAGTTGAAAAAAAGAATTGGGACTTTTGAGCGAATATTAATTTTTTTTAGAGTGCCGGCAATATGTGCTATTTTTCGTTTCGGCAGGCACGCAAAAAATTTTTAATCAAATAAAACTAATTTTAATGATTGACTAGGTAAGGGCTTTGAAATCCCAGCCCATGAGAAAAATCGAATTTTCGAAGTAAATCAGTGGTCGGTTTTTTACAGAGACAGCCTCTTAAACCTTCAACCATTGCCAACATAACATTCAAAACAGGGTTTAACTAGAATTTTTAAAATGTTTGAACAAAATTTTTGTGGCAATAGTATTAAAATAGATTTTAAATCCCCTATTTCAACCCTGTTTTGAGCTCAAACTACGTTAAAAACAGGGTGAAAATCATTCCAATGTCATAAAATAGGTTTTAACTATACTTGAAATACATTATAAACAAGAAGCAAAATTTTGAATTTCGTACAAAATAGCACAAAAAATACTCTATAGTGACTTCAAAATACTGTTTAAATCGTCAAAATATATTCAAAACAGTTTAAATTCAGTTTTAAAATACAGCTGTTTTGGTAGGGGTAAAGCATGGCCCAAAACTGGAAGAAAAACAGACTGGCGTACTAAACAATAGAGTTCTTTGAACATACTGTATCATGCAAATTCGAGAAGAAACTGTCGCGAACTTTTGAAATTTTACGTGTGTGAACCTTGATTGCCCAGATTTTTTTTTTCTTTTCATTTCTTTATTTATTTTTATTTTATTTTATTTATTTATTTATTTTTTTTTTTCATACACTTTTGCACAGTACTTGTTTTGGCTCCATATCAGACATACATGTACCAAGATGCGTTTTAAGCCCGTAAAACTACGCAGTTTTTGCCGTTTTCATAGGGGCCTGAAAGGCAATTCTTCCTTCAAAATGCTTGAAAAATTGAAAACTTCCTATTGTTAGATAGAAGAAAGGTAAAGCCCTTATACCAAGTTTATCCCGTGTTCTAGTCTTATAATCGTTTCAATGCGAAAACTGTATTTTTTTGTTGTTGTTTTTTCGTATTTTTGTTTTTCGCGAATTTCTCGAAGACTTAACATTCTTAGAAAATCGGAAAAAAATATTTTCGAAAGTAGTTCCCTGAAAGCGCTTCTTAGGCAAAGTTTCAGAATTTTCAGCTTTTCGAACCTGGTCAGTCATTCTCAATATTTCCAGTCATTGACTCTTAAATTCTCTCCACAAAGAATATTTATACTAATTTTCGATAACAAACGAGACGGGGTTTCTACACTTAAGAGCAAAATCGAGAATAATCCTCCACCGCCATGTTTATGCTCCATAATATACTACACGTTTGATAGGATTACATAATTTCCAATTTGGAAGCAGAAAGCTCCAAAAATATTACAATATCAAGATATGTAACCCAATTATAATGGCATGTAGCCCCATCAAGCGTTATTTATATTGTTTGTAAAAATGTTAGTATAGTATAGCTCAGTTTGAGAAAGTCCAAGCAAGTGTGGAAGTTTGGATCTAGAATGTAATTAGTGTCTCATGTTGACCAATACAAAGCAACAACAACAAAAACAACATTAAAAAATGTGCGTTTCAGGAGGAGGTGAATGGAAACTCTTTTCAGAGAAAATGGGCTTAACTCCAGCAGAGATCCACTTCCTCGACAAGCGAGTGATAAACCCATGTGACGTCGCATTGAGCCATAGTAGACGACAAGGTTTCATAAGAAGTGTGGGTGATCTCTACGATGCTTTGGTAGAATGTGATTTTCCTGCAATGGCTGATTTGCTGTAAAGAAAGAATCGCATCCTCAATAGATCGATGAAGTTGTTTTCTACAGGAATTCCTAAAATTAGTTGGCAAACCTATATTTCAAACTCTGTTTGTCAAGATTATCAATCCATTTTCGTTTTTAATTATAAAATACAATTTTAAGCCACGGCCAAACGATCGCAACGTTTAAATGCAACATATGCCCCCCTATTGCGACGTGTTGCAACTCGTTGTTTGACCATTTTCAAACTTGAGCCAACGACACCCATTATGTCGCAACAGGGTGGTCAAACAACGTTACGATAAGTTGCGTTGAGACTTGCTATTTTGTTTTTTTTTTTCGATCATGCCTAATAGTTATGAGAGGTAAATAAAATCCCACGAAGCCACTTTCCATAAAATAGTAAGTAATTTGACTCGATACTCCTATATGTCGCGTTAAAATGTTGGGCGCTCGTTTGACAGGGGCTTTATGTTTTGACCCGCTAGCAGTTTTCTTCTGTGAAAATTAAATCGTAACGAGAAACCAGAGATAAACTAAGTGACTTAAGCTTTTCCAAAATATATTTTTGTCGTGTAATGAAATATTTTTTATAGTAATGGTGATTGTAGAAATTTACAAATTGCTTCCAGTCAAAGTAGATATATCATATTTTTAACCATTCTTGATTAAAATTATTAAATGCAGTTTTTGTTTTTGAAATACCAATTTTTCTAGCGTGATTGTGTTATAGTGTTCCTATAAGTGGTGTGCGATGGGCTCTCCTTAGAGCAGTGCCTGTGGTAACAAGATATGAAGATCTAAGTGATTTCACGAATAACTATATTCAAAGGAAATATTACCTAGAAATTTTTACCACATTGTTTCTTAGTTCCTTTCAGCTTTGCACCATTTAAGTTAGATTCCAGTTTTCCGTAGTTTGAAACTTGTCAATCAGCATCGCTGCTTGGAATTAAGTAATGTAAATTTGCGATTAATAGGACAAATTTTAGCCGTGTGCCAGAATGCGCGTTAATATACCGGTAGGCTGTTTGCAAGTGTCTGGGCCTCGCGCCTGTGTAAACAATATATTAGCTATTTTAGTTTACGATAAGCTATATTAATACTCGTGGAAATTCCGGCGGGATGGTGGGTGGGGTGGGGGGGGGGGTTATTTTTGTGGTCAACAGATGGAAATTCCGGGGAGGAGGGGGCGGGAGGCTTTCGTGAAATTCCCTCCGTGGTGGGGGTATGGATATTTTCTGGAACCACCATTACAGCAGCCAAGCAACATAAAATTAAGAGCACGGTCTAAAGGAAATCATATACGTAGTCTAAGGTCTAGGCGTACAGACGTCTCATACACTAAGGCTATTGGGAAGCAAAGAGATATCTTTTAAAATAGCACCCCTGGAGCTCCGATAAAGACTATACTGCCTGTGACAGTTCAAATGCACGCCGTCAGGCAAAAGGACTCGACAAGAAATGGACTGCATTTCCAAATGTCCCCACGCAAAGATCGACGGTCGATCGTCAAAAAGCGCGTCCAGCATCTTATTAAACGTGGCGGCTCTAGTGTTGAACTCTTCATGAGGCAAACCCGTGCTGCGGTGTCGCCGAGGAAGGACTGTGCACACACCGACAGCAGTAGAAGAGTCAACAGACTGCAAAATTCGGCTAAAGTCTAAAAGGTCGCCAGTTACAACCTAGAGATAGTGAGAACTGAGATCATCTGTGCCAATCTCACGAATAATAACCCTGGGGGGAGGTTGGTGAGAACACAGAAGCTAAATTCCCGGGCTAGTCGAGGAACGGTCAACCCACCGACGCCGTGGAATAACACAGTCGCGGTTCGAATTAAATTAAAATCCATAGGGCAGAGTGAAGCCTCTTCACAAAAGAATCACCCGCAATAAGAACACTTGGGGGAGGAAATGCCATGATACAAAAGGGGAAATAGCAAACAACAAGTTTATGATAATTTCTCCCAATGGCGCCAAATTCTAATGACAAATCTATCGAACAGGAAACCTAGATGAAA